ACAACAATGGGAATCATTTGCTTGAGAATCTTTGTTTGCAGCTATTTCATATTATTCATATATGTATATATTAATATTATTAGTAATACAGAAGGATGAGGTTCCTTATGTATCATATCTTCATTATTTTAAATTCCGTTACTCCCCTCCATTTTCCACCCACTCATTCTGATCCTGTTGTAGTCAGGGTTTTGTTAAGGTAATACATTTACTACAGGACACATAATTTAGAAGATTATCTTATGCTAATTACCCTAAAAGTCAAACGCAAAGGAGTGCAAGAGATTAACCTCACACTAGGGGCCAAAAGGATTCAGCTGAGGGCCTGGATCCCAGCAATCCCACCCAAGTCCAACTAAAGGCTTAGAGTCCAAGGCAATGTTCTCCAGGAGTCCAGCCAGGGGCATCGAGCCCACAGCAATGTCACATTCTTGTCCATATTGAGGATCTGCACTGGGAAGGCCCAAAGGCCACTGGTGGAATCCAGAAAACCATCACCGGTGAGATGAAGGATTTGTGCCACCAAGCTGAGGGATCCACATTGGGGCCAGGAAGTGATGTTCATGAAGATCAGAGCTCCTCTGATGAAAACAGCAGCCATTCCCAGTGACAGTGAGGCCCCGAGCTTCTCCTCCGACAAGAACAACCTGGTTTGTATCAGGAAAACCATCCACAGCCAGCTTCTCCTAGAAAATCAACAAGGCAAGATCATCCCCTCCAGTTCTTTTTTTGGCTATTGAGATAATCCTTAGGTGGGTCTTCCACACCCAGACCACACTGATTCAGTTCAGCTGGGCATTACAAGTTGACCATTAGTCAATCCACTACAGATCCTTTTCCCAATCTCCCAGAATCTACCTTCTCATTCCTGATGTCTCTCCTTTATTTTTATTTATTTATTTATCTATTTTTCATATATGAGAAATTGTGATATGTAACTTTCTGAGTTGGCTTATTTTGTCTACGATCATGGTCTCAAATTTGATCCATTTTCCTGCACATGATATGATGTCATTTTTCTTTTTGATTAATCATATATATTAATATATATGAATATTAATATACATTATATATTAATCATATTTATTAATCATATTTTCTTTATTTATCTGTTGATGGGCATCTAGTCCATTTCCACAGCTAAGCTACTGAGAATTGTGCCACTATAAACAGAGATATGCACATATATATGC